TGTGTGTCCCCAACTCAGCCCACCAGGGGGGGCTGAGTTTGTTCTAAGTAGGTGCTTTAGACCACTGAGCCATCTCACCAGCCCAAAGATTTTTTTAAAAAGATAATAATAAGCAATATATTAACCACCAGTACTGTTTTGAAATTTTGTTTTATTCATTTCTCTTTAAAAAAATTGATTAGTTGAGTTTGCAGAAAACACTAATAAAAAGCTAGCTGAGCTAAACAAAATGATATAAAACAATCAGTGCCACTTTAGCAAAGAATTGGAGTTAATAAAAAGGTACCAGACGTTCAGGAGAGTGAAGTTCTTCTGCAAGTGTGGGGAGTCGGAGTGAGCGCTGTGAGGGCAGTATCAGGACTGGGATACTCAGAGGTGCCTTAGAAACGAAAAGGTGACATGGAAGGTGGATCCAGCAGCTGCTGGATGATGCTGAAAAGATTAAGGGAAGAAATCAGAAGATAGCACAAATGGCATAAAAATAAGTTTATAAAAATACGACGCAGTGGAATAAGCGCTTCCCTGGCAAGCGCAAGGGCCTGAGTTCAATCCCTGGTTCCGCAAAAAAAAAAAAAAAAGTAGAAAATGTACAAATATGGGGAAAGGATTTAATGTACAGATAAATAAGGCATGTAGAGTCCCAAGTAAGCTTAATTGGAAAAGTCTTTATTTCACAAAACATTATAAAATCCCAGAAGTCCAGCACAAAGATAGAATCTTCACAGAATAGAGCAATGAATCACTTATAAAGATATATCTACTAGAATTAAGTAGACTTCTCAAAATAAATATCAAAGGCAGGAAAGTCTGAAGCTTCAAGCCCTAGAAGAAAACAACTTCCAACCCAGATTGATATATCTTGCAAAACTGTCTTTGAAAACAGATGGATAAACAAGGTCTTTCCATGACAAAGAACATCTTAGGAAATTCCTGACCATCAAACTGGCACTCTGAAAAATTCTCATGGGTATTCTAGAAAGAAATAATGAAGCCAACAATGCTAAAAACTCTAAAACAGTGAATACACCAGAGAAGGGAATGAGTACAGGTGAACAAAATCAAAAACAGGAAAATAATGCAATGACAGAAAGTAATTAGTGCCTTTCAGTACTAACTCTTAATGTGAGTGGTCTCCGTTCTGCAATCAAAAGGTTGAATTTTGCAGAATGGATCAGAAAGCAAAGTGCAATAGTTTGCTTTATACAGGAAGGACTTTTAAATCCAAAAGAATTTTCATGGACTAAATATTAAAGTATAAAAACAATATTCCATGCAATGGGGAACTGAAAACACACAGGAAGAGCTGTCCTATCTTCAGACAAAGAGGACTTCAAACAAAAAGTGGTCAGAAGAGGTGACTGCATATTGTTTAAGGGACAAATTCAACATGAAGAAATACTAATTATGAACATAAGTGCCCTAAACATTGGCATACCCAAGTAAGTAAAGCAGATGCTGTTGGACATAAAGATGAGATAAACTTCAACATGATTATGCGGGGGGAAATCTTAATATCCCACTGTCACAAAGAGGTCAACCAGATTAAAAAAATCCATAATGAAATACCAGGATTGAACCAAACCTTTATACAAATGGATTTATCATGTTCATAATGAAGCTGTAATTCCTGTGTCTTGCTGCTGGCTGACTGACTTGGATGTGTTACTCTCCTGCCAGCTTGAACCACTGGTAGCTCAGACTGGAACATGTTAATAGACACCTAGAGTGTTCTACCCACTGCTACACGTTCTTAGCAGTGCATGAACTTTCTCCAAAATACTAGCCCATAAAGCATGCTTGAGTAAATGCAAAAGAATCAAAATTATCATGAATATTATCAAGTCATACTGTAATGAAAATAAAAATGGAAAAAGAAACCATAAATATAATGCACACAGGTGGAAATTAAATAATATACTCTTGAATAATCGGTGAGTCACAGAGGAAATCAAGAAAGAAATGGGTTCCTAGAATCAAATGATAATACCAGTGCAGCATACCACAACCCATGAGACAGCATGGAAGCAGTCCTAAGAGGGACGTTTATAGCACGAATGCTGACATCAGACAGAGTGAGCTTAAATAAATAATCCAATGAAAAATAAATAACCCAGTGATGCACCTTAGAATCTTAGAAAAGTAGCAGTCCAGATCCAAGCTAGTATGAAAGGAAGGAAATTATAAAGACCTCAAGAAATTAATGAAAATAAGACTAAATCGCACGCGCGCGCGCGCGCACACACACACACACACACACACACTAGCTCAAACAAACAAAATAGATAAAATGTTATCCAATCTTACTAAAAAAAATCCAAGTCAGTGCAATTAAAAATGAAATGAAAACGGTGAAATCAAATGGATACCACTACTTTGAAAACCTGTATTCCAATAAATTGGAGAATCCAGAAGAAATGGATAGATTCTAGATAGATACGAATTATTAAAACTGAACCAAGAAGATATAAAAACCCTACATAAGCCTTTAAGGTAATGAAGTTGGTTTAAGGAAGCCATAACAGGTTATAAAATTCTGTAGCAACTTTTAAGTAAGCCATAAATAATGTAACTTTTAAGTGAGCCATAACAGGTAATAAAATTGAAGCAATAACTTAAGAAGCTTAGCAACTATGAAAAGCCCAGGACCTAGCGGATTCACCACTGAATTCTACAAGAAGTTCAGGGAACACCTAATGCTGATATGCCTCAAACTTTTTTTAATGAAATTGAAAGGGAAGGAGTACTCTCAAAGCCTTTTCTGGAAGCTAGCATTACTGTTCTCCCAAAACCAGAAAAGGACCAAAAGAGAGAACTAGTAGCCAGTCGTTTAATGAACATAAATGCGAAACTCTTCAACAGGACCCCAGCAGGCAATGCACCAAATCATCAGAAAGCGCATATATCATGTCCAAGTAGCTTCACCGCAGGAATGCAGGGATGGTTCAACATATCTAAATCAGTATCAGTAATACAGCACATAAACAAAAACAAGGACAAAAATCACATATCATCTCAGTAGCTGTAGAATTTTTTATAGCAAAATCCAACATCCCTTCGTGATACAAACCCTGAAGAAAATAGGTGTAGAGGGGCCTTACTTCAATTTGATAAAAGCCATTTGTGACAAACATTAGAATGAGGAAACACTGAAAACTCTCTAAAATCAGGAATAAGACAAGAAAATCCATACAGTCCTCAAAATATTAGCCAGATCAGGCCAGAGTTAGCAATGAAAGGGATACATATAGAAAAGGAAGAATTATTACTTGCTGGTGACATGGTCCTCTACCTAGAAGAACCAAAAAATTTCTACCAAAAGACTCAGAATTAATGGCCAAATTCAACAGTGTAGCAGGATTCAAAGTAAGCATTAAAAAATCAATATTGAACAGGACATGGTGGCACATGCCTGTAATCCCAGCACCCAGGAGGCTGAAGCAGGAGAATCACTGTGAGTTTAAGGCCATCCTGGGCTACACAATGAAATCCTGTCTCAAAAGCAAAAAAAAAAAAGTGTTTCTCTACCTCAATAATGAACTCACTGAAAGAAATTAGAAAATAATACCATTCACAGTAGCACCAAGAAAAAGGAAATATGTAGGAATTAACCTTACCAAAGAAGTGATAGACCTCTTCAATGAAAATTATAGTCATCTAAAAAGGAGCTCAAAGAGGATAACAGAAAATGGAAACATATCCCCTATTTCTGAAAATCAGTTTTGTCAGAATGATCACACTTCCAAACTTGTAAGCAGGTTTAATGCAGTTCCAGTCAAAATACCAATAGCAGGCTGGGGAGCTAGCTTGGTGGTCTAGGTGCCTGCCTGGTAGGTGCACGGACCCAGGTTCCATCCCTGGTACTGCATGCTGTGCCACCCTGGAACCTTGGGCATGCTGAGCTGGCCACTAAAGTGGGGGAGGGGCATACGCCTGTAATTCCAGCGCTGGGAGGCTGATGCAGGAGGATCAGTACAAGTCTGAGCTGCATAGCGAGACCCTGTACTAAATAAATAAATACTTATAAAAAGTACCAACAGCACCATCACAGAACTAGAGAAAACAATTCCAAATTTCATCTGGAACCAGAAGAGACCAGAGAAGAGTGGAAGCAATCTTGAGCAGCAGGAAAAAGGCAGGAGGCACCAACCCCAGATTTCAAACTGTGTTATGTGGCAACAGTGGTAAAAACAGTGTGTGGCATAGTGGACAGTGTGGAGATGGACCTGCCTCCCAGGGCCCCTGCTCACTGTCCCTGCACATTTCGTCGGGACATACTGGGTACCTTAACCATACTCCGAATTTACTTTAAAAAACTAGGGTGTTAGCCTTTACATATTTAAAAGCATTTAGTGTAAGAAAATACTAAGCCACATGATTCTATAATTTGGTATCTTAAGTTGTAGATATGAATGGGTTATGGCAACTGTAAATATGAATAATTAGAATATTTTGCTAAAGGATTGCAGCAGACCATTCATAAAGCTGTATTTGAAACCTTCCTTTAGTTTCTCAAAATATGTTTGCAATACATAGTCACACTGAGGAGTTGGCAGGTGTATACGTAGTACTGTGTAGCTCCTTTGAAAAGACCTTTCAGTACAGTTTGCCTTTTAAAGAGTGGTATTCCTAGTGAGTCTGCTCCTGGGCCGTGTCATGAAGCTGACCTTGTGACGGGCCTCCCAGGAGCGGTTGTGTGTGGCATTGTACCAGTATTACGTTGTACGTTTCAAACTGTGTTGCCAGATTAGAACAGAGGGAAATGCCACTTTACTGAGTCGAAGGTAGCAGGGCTGCTGGTCCCCGATTGGAGAAGTTGGGGACGCTGGACACAGCCTGGTCTGTGCGGCCCGGGCGGGAGCTGATGGAGGGACGGGCTGAGAGTGGAGCTCCTGGGTGTCTCCCACAGAGCAGTTCAGGGAGTGTCGCTCTCCTGAAGCCATCATGTTTATTTAGGCCAATCACAGAGTAGCGTGACCCAGACCTGTGCCCTTGTGTTGTAGGTGTGGTGTCCCTGGTGGCCGTCCACCCATCCACAGTGAACACACTCGGGAAGCAACTCCTGCCCAAAACCTTCGGACAGTCTAATGTCAACATCACACAACAAGTGGTAAGGTGGAGGGTGGGCCTGGCTGGGAGGTGTGCGTGTACGTGCGCCTGCAGGCAGATCTGGGAGTGTAGACAGTGGCCAGGATTGCTGATGGCACTTAGTGGACACCAGCTGGGGTCAGTGACACCCTGTGGTGATGCTCACCAGGTTGCTGATGTACTGCATTGGACTTACTAGTTCAGAGCACTTGTCCCCTCTGTGACTGGGTGGAAGCTACCATGTGTGGTGGGTGTTCCTGGCATCCCTGGCAGGTGTAGCATAGGCTGTGGCCCAAGCCCGAGCAGCTTCCTGCCCGGACTTTTGTACCTGCACAGTCCTCAGTGCTGAATAGCAAGGCCACTCTATAGTGATAGTGCCTAACCTCCCCAGTCTCTGTCTTGGGCATTGGGCCAGTGCCTTCCTCCTGTCCTACGTTTGGGGTCAGGGGAGGAGACCTAGACCCTGTGGAGGTGGGTGGGTCTTACAGCAGGACCCCCACCCGCCATGTTATGGCTATTCTTGGGCCCAGAGGTGCTCAGCCTTCCTGGCAGCCTGGTCTGCAGGCTCTGCTCTGGGCACACACCCAGCCCCAGGCTCGGTGACATCCATGTCTCTTGACCTTCCTTCTGCTCCTCCTACAGTGCTCCCACCTCCCCAGCTCCCTCCTTGCCCTTCTTGGAGGGCAGTCCCACCCCCACCCCCCATTCCCACCCCCATGGGAGAAGACCTGGGTTGCATTTGGAGTAAAAGGCATGGCCTTGACGCACAGTCACCCAGGCCTCCACAGCCTCCCATGGGTTCCTAATCCCCAGAAGCAGTACTGGGTAGGTTCGCTGCTGCTGTCTTTTGGGTGACTTTTCCGTGTACCCCATTTCTTCAGAGAAAACGACCATGCCTGCATGTTTGACCCCTCCTACCTTTTCTGTTGAATTTTTTGCTTTTCAGTACCATTTGATAAAGCTGAAAAGCCCAGTTTTGTTCTGCCTTGCCACCTCTCTAGCTTGATGGGACAGGTACTGAGTCTCATGTGACAGCAGGATTCAGCTCCTCCATCACAGCAGTGGCTCCCTCTTGTCTGGCGTGGGTGGAGGTGTGCCCAGGAGCAGGTGGCAGAGGCAGGGGCTTCCTCGTGTGAAGGCCAGATCCCTGGCCACACTGAGCTTTGTGGCTAGAGCTTGTGGCTGTTCTCCTGGGCTCTGGTACAGCACCCATGTGAATGAGCTTATGTGTTGCAGGTGACCAGGAATCATTTTATAACCAAAGGTTTAGAAAAGCACACTGGCTGTTCTGCTGTGGGCAGTGAGGCCCTTCCCTGTTTGAGGTGATGGGCCTGGGTGGGCACTGGGTCCTGTGCGGCATCCCAGCCAGGCCTGGGAGGAGGGAACATGAGCAGGGTGCACAGCACGAGTCCAGCTCACCAGCCAGGGCCTCCATGGGTCCGGCAGCCAAGCACATGACTTCAGTCCCCCAAGCTGAAATAGCTCTGGGCCCCTGTGGTGTGTGGTGGCTGCGACGTGTGATGGTGAGCTGCACACAGGGTGTTTACCAAGAGCAGTCAGGGAGATGGGCCTGCAGCAAGGCGTTCGAGCTGCCATTGAGACCATGCCTGGCAGTGTGCAGGGCGTGTCTGTGTCCTCTGCTGGAGGAGGCGGACAGCTCACTGTGAAGTCCCAGCTGGGCTTGAGCTCACCGTGGCTGGCAGCTGTGGGATACGGCGTGCTGTATGTCTGTGGCTAGCCTGGCTTATCTGTCTTATTAAAAAGTAAAAGCCCAAGAGGAGAACTAGAAGCACGTCTGAGTGCCCACTGTTAAATCCGACTGCCACTGAGCTCCACACAGTGTGAGCTCTGCCATCTTTGGCCTCACCTGGATGGCTGTAGTGTTCACACTGAGAAGATAGTGCTGGCTCAGAACCAAAGGGTGGGATCGGCCACCTCAGGGCATTGTCACTGCTGTCCTATCTTGTGGTGGCTGTAGCCAGAGCAGGTGACGAAAGCCAGTGTCCAGGTGCAAGAGGTCCCTGACTCTAACCTGAGCTGTCCCCTGCTGCAGGTGATTGGCACGCCCCAGCGGCCAGCAGCAGCCAGCACGATCGTGGTTGGGAGCCCACATACCCCGAGCACACACTTCGTGTCCCAGAGCCAGCCCTCCGAGTCCTCACCGTGGTCTGCTGGGTGAGTGCCCCCCGTGGTCCCCATGCTTGCACGGAGGGTCACCCTCTGTAAAGTCCCATGGTGGGGAGCCAGGGCTCCTGGCCTCCTGCCTGGCTGCACATCACGACTCAAGCTGGCTGGGAGCAGAGGTGGCATGTTCCCTCCCCCTGGAGGGCTAGGAGTTCCAGGCCCTGGAAAGGAGGAAGTCCTTTCCCCTGTGCATGTCACACCCACTGCACGTTGCCTTCTGTCTGTGAGATGCTGTGGGCAGATTCGCTGCCATCCTGGGCTTGGCCTGTGCTGCTGGGCTGTCCTGCCGTAGCACTTCCAGCATCTGAACCAGAAGTGATTGTCCAGAGAGTCAGTTGAGCCTTGCCTCAAAAACTCAGACACAGCTGTGAGCTATGTAGTCTGCTGTAGGTCTGTGGCAAAACCACCTCTGCCCAAAGTGCAGCTGTCAGAAGTGAGGGCCCTTTGTTCTCCCTGTGGCGACATGCCAGCGCTTCCTCCTGTCCCACATGTGCTGGTGTTATGCACCTGCGGCTGTAGGGTAGCCAGCCATGCACGTGTCGCATGTCGCCATGCCTGCCAACATGAGCCCTGGAAATCTCTCAGTTGCACTAAAATCTGTGGCAGTCTGAGGCTGCACATCATCTCCAGGAGAATTTGCTGTGCATGTGGGCATAGTTGGATGCCAAGACATGATACCCTGTGTCTTACAGATGTCCTGCCCTGACCACGGGACATCTTGTGTCCTTGTGTGCTGAGGTGGACCTGTGCGGAGGCTCTGGGATCTGTGGGCCGCAGGGCCTGTGGATCTTGGGGCAGGGCTGACCCTGGGTGTTTGTCTGTCTCCCTCTGCAGAAAGCGGAACAGGAAGGGCGAGAAGCACGGCAAGGGCCTGCGGCACTTCTCCATGAAGGTGTGCGAGAAGGTGCAGCGCAAAGGCACCACCTCCTATAACGAGGTGGCTGACGAGCTGGTGGCAGAGTTCAGTGCTGCCGACAACCACATCCTGCCCAACGAGTCTGTGAGTGCGGGCAGGTGCAGAGGGCCCTAGGGTGGCACAGCGGCAGGTGGTCACAGCCTTCCTGGAGGGGTCCCCTGCAGGTCTCCCGGGGATGCGCTCAGGGCTAGACATTCACGACAGTCAGTGGTGGGGCTCAGGTCACGTGGAAGATCTTTGCTGTCTGTCTCCCAGGCTTACGATCAGAAGAACATACGGCGGCGAGTGTACGATGCCTTAAATGTGCTGATGGCCATGAACATCATCTCCAAGGAGAAGAAGGAGATCAAGTGGATTGGCCTGCCCACGAACTCGGCTCAGGAATGCCAGAACCTCGAGGTGCACCCTAACCTCCCTTTTGCATCACGGGCATCACGGTGTCCTGGTCCTGAGAGGGTCTTGGCGGTTGCCCTGTGATGTGTGTGCTGGAGCACCTCCGGGTGCCTCTGCTCTCTGCTGACTGAGCTCTGGGCTTACATGGAGCCTAGTTCCCAGCCTTCCCTTGTGGGATTTAAAAACACTTGAGCCACATCCAGCACAGGGATGATGGGTGGGGCACCTGTGGAGTAGCGGGGCCTGGCACCCTTAGCTGGGCTCTCAATGCCCTGTGCCGACCGCAGCGACGGTCCCCTGTATGTGTTGCAGGTGGAGAGGCAGCGGCGGCTGGAGCGCATCAAGCAGAAGCAGGCCCAGCTCCAGGAGCTTATCCTGCAGGTGGACACTGGGAGGGCGTTGTGGGCACAGCCTCTGCTAGAGCGTGCAGGCGGGCGTGGATGTGTGAGTGGGCAGTGTGAGCAGGCGGGTGCAAGCATCAGCAGTGTGAGTGGACAGGCATGGCCGTGAGCAAGTGTGAGTGTGAATGCAGACAGTTGGGGCTGTGCAGGTGTGAGCAGGCATGCACACATAGGCGCATGCGTGTGGGGGTGCTCCACAGCCCGGTTCTGGATGGTGGCATCCCTGGGGCCTGTACTCGGAGGTACCCTTAACAGTTACTGGTCGGGGACAGTGGAAGTTTTGGGGCTGATGTATCCACACCATGTGGCCACAGCTGTGCTTCCCCACAGAGAGCCAACGGTCCTGTCTGGGCCCAGGCACCAGTGTGGATGACGTGCGTGTTGGGAGCCCTGGGTCCCAGCCTGATCCCCACAGGGAGGGAAGAGGAGCTGGGGGCTGCTACCCGACACCTAGCGTGCTGCCTTTGTCACTTCTTCCCATGGCACACAGCCTGTCCAGTGTGTCCACTGTGGACACTGAGCCCTTGTCTGGGTGGGCCACTGTGGCACCCTGTCCAGGAAGGGGCTGTCATTCTGGCTTTTGGGGCGCAGGGGTATGCCCACCTCCTGCCACTCTTGGTGTGATCCAAGAGGGTGGGGCATGGTGCTGGTGACAGTTGCCACACAGGTTGGTTGTTCCCTCTTTCCAGCAAATCGCCTTCAAGAACTTGGTGCAGAGGAACCGGCAGGTGGAACAGCAGGCCCGTCGGCCACCACCACCCAACTCCGTGATCCACTTGCCCTTCATCATTGTCAACACCAGCAGGAAGACTGTCATTGACTGCAGCATCTCCAATGACAAGTGTGTCATGGCAGTGCACAGGGAGACTTCTCGGGGCCGCTGCTGGCACGGCGCGTTGATAGTGTAGCCACCCCGAGGTGCCGCGGCCTGGCAGCTGGCACATGTGTGAGGCGCACGCCTGTCTGGGTGTGATGCCCAGTGCCATTCCCTGGCACCCGTCCTTGGTCTGTGAGCCTGTGGGCTCTGGGTGGGCACAGCAAGAGAGGGACTTCACTTGGGGCCTGGCTTTGTGACCACATCCATCCTGCAGATTCGAGTACCTGTTCAACTTCGACAACACTTTTGAGATCCACGATGACATTGAGGTGCTGAAGCGGATGGGCATGGCCTGTGGTCTGGAGTCTGGCAGCTGCTCTGCCGAGGACCTCAAGGTGGCACGGAGCCTGGTGCCCAAAGCTCTGGAGCCGTATGTGACAGGTCAGTCGTGCCCTCTTGGCCACGCATGTCCTGAGGTTGGCCAAGCTCAGGCCTTGTGGCATCGCTGCCCACTGGATGGGGAGCTGCAGTCCGCGAGTAGCCTGCGTGTTTGTGTGACAGGCATGTGGAAAAGTCAGGGTTCATCTGGGTCAGAGTGAGAAGCATGGTTCTCGAGCAGTATAGCTGGCATGGGGCCCCATGGTGGTTGATGGCCCCGGGACCTGGCTCCCCGCTCAGTGTCTTCTTGGGGGTGCGGGGGACTCACATTGCACTGGTGACTGATGGCCCACTGCATGCTGGGCTTTCACTGGGCTGCGAGTCCTTGATCCTGGAAGGCTCCTAGCTGGTGGATGTGTGGCCTGTCCACCACGTTAGGGATTCGGGACCTGGCCCCCTCCCCTCCCGCCAGTGCCCAGGGAGATCAGCCAGGCTTGTGCAGGTATGCGTTTCTTACCTGTGGCCCCGCTTCCTGCTCTGTGGTGGCTGCAACACTCACAGGTCTGTGTGGTGCCTTCCCTGCACTGTGCCACGCTGAGGGTGTGTGTCCCTTGTGGGGGACCTGGCCGTGGCACGTGCCCCGTGGAGGCTGGCACTGGACACTGCGAGGCCCCCGGCTAGGCCTCCCAGCCTTGCTATGTGCGACCCTTTGCTTTCCCTTTCAGAAATGGCTCAGGGGTCCATCGGCAGCGTGTTCCTCACAACTGCAGGCTCTGCGTCCAACGGCACAAGGCTGTCTGCCAGGTGACCACAGGGCAGGGCCAGGTGGGACGGCACCAGTCTAAAAATTAAAGTTAACTCCTGTTTTTATTTTTAAAGTAGTACAAGAGAGGGGGCAAAATCCACCCTAACCCCGGGAGTGAAAGACAACTGGTTTTCCTCTTCCCTCATTTTCTTAAAATGTTTGAGGTCATCATACGTGTAAAATTCTGTTCTCTGCTTTTTTTCACGCTCATGATTATGCATGAGCTGAGCAAGGACATTTGTTATTTAGACGAATGTGTTTAGTGGCATCGGTGCTTCATGGTGCTGCCTTAATGCAGCAGCTTGTTGCGTTCAGTTGCACCCTGTGCGTGTGCGTGTGCGCCCTGAGTGCTGCTTTACCCTGAGGAGGAGGATGTGAGAGAGGCGTATCTGGGGATGGAGGTTAGTCACCGTGGGGCTGCTGGTCAGGGCTTGGTGCTGTGAGGCCTGGCTTGTCCCTAGCCTTCGGGCTGAGAGCCAGCCATGGCAGGCTGAGGGAGAGCGACTGCCAGCTGGGGCGTCCCAGCACCCTGTGGTGAGCACTGGGCTCTTTTCCTTGCATCCTGGGACTTGGCCTGCAGTGTTAGCAGAGGGTATGGTTGAGGTGTAGTCGCAGTGACTGTAGGAATTCCACCTTCAAGTCATGCTCTTCACTGACTGAACTTTGCTGGCCTGTCAGTTTCTACACTGGAAACAAGCTCTAGACAATTCCTGAGAAAACTGGTTTCAGTAAAAGTGGGGTACGGATAGAGATATGGGGTACAGTGTGTTACGAAAGCACCTTCAGGTAGCTTGCAGTTGCCAGGAAAGCCAAAGGCTCTGTTTGTGGGTGCAGTGTTTGCCTCTAACCTGTTCTGCCAGGCTGGGTTTCCAGGGTGAGCTGCTCATCAGAAAGTGTGGTACAAGGCAGGGTGAGGGCATGCTGAAGGGTGGGGTGGAGCTGGGATGAGGTGCAGACCCGGTGGGTGGCTGCCAGGGGCGACTGGGCAGTGCCTCGGCTCACTGTGTCCGCCTGGTCTGGGCTCAGGTCAGGATGCCACCAAACCGCGGCCTAGTGTGGGTGGGGCAACACCCACTGCCAGCCTGGGCTCAGTTCCCTCAGCCTGGCCAGCCACGGGCCAGAAGTCATGCGGCAGAAGCACTCCCTGCTTCCCACGTGCACTGAGGGTCCCCAGGGGCACTTGGAGCCACACTGGGCTGGGCCTTGTGGTGCTGGCTCTTCCGCTTCAGTCTGTGCGCATCGCTTGGGCCCTGGGCCTTGGGGCCACGCCTGGCCTGGCGTTTGGCCTCAACACCGCCGGTCCTGTCCCCACAGCGACCTGAGCAACGGCGCGGAGGGGACTCTGGCCACCAGTTCCAATGGCTCCCAGTACAGCGGCTCGCGGGTGGAGACGCCCGTGTCCTGTGTGGGCGAGGATGAGGACGAGGAGGACGACTTCAACGAGAACGAGGAGGAGGACTGACACCGCCTCCAGCGTCGGGGATGAGCGTCTAGCAAAGAGAAACTGTTTTAAACCGGGTTTTTCTTTCCTCTTGGCCTTCCCCCGAGAAGGCCCGGTGAGCTGGGTTTCGACGCGCACCTCCAATAAGCAAGGACTGTTCTGCGCGGTGTGCAGGCTTGCGTGCCTGCGCGCGTGCGTGTTTGGTGCCTGTGTGCGGGCCCAAGCCTCTATTTACCTTTTGTTTTCTGTTTTTCCTTTAGTTCACAGTTGGTTTTTGCCTCTCAGCAGTGCTTGCTGGGTTGCTGAACACATTGTACTTCACCCATGCCAGTGACAATAAAGAAGCGCTGTCATGTCCTGCGGGCCCAGCCGCAGCACCCCATTTGCCGTGTGCGGAGTGGCGCCCCCCGCTGGCAGACAGCGGGACTGCAGGACGTGTCTTCCCTCCGTTAAACACGCGAGGGCCAAAGAGCCAAGCAGTTAACAAAACTACATTTAAAATATTGAGCACCATAAATTTTATTATGATTTTGCTTTTCCTTAAATTATGTTAATGTTGCAAACCCATCATATCTGCACACTTTTTCTGGTGCACCAACTAATTGAGACATGCTTTCTTTTTGTTTGGTAGTTTACTGCCGTGCTGGAGCAGCTATGGAATGTGTGGAAGGGTTGTTGCTTATGATAAAATTTGCCTGATTTCTTACAGGCCGCGTTTGGAAACTTTTTATTATATAGTTGTTTACATACTTATAAGTCTATCATTTAAAGACATGTACTGAAACAAATGTTGTATTTGTTTCCTAAGCAATCTTCATGTAATCTATTATAAAGTTGAAATTAAACATAGAGAATGTTTTAACAGTTTTTTAACTCAAAATTTGTCAATCATTTTTAATAGTTCTTTTTTTATAAAAAGAAAGGAATTTAAGGACAGGCAGTAGTCTCTTTTAAAATTTATTCACAATGAACCATTAACTGCACATTGCTGTTAGCTGCCTGTTCTGAAACAATGGTCTTTTTATTGAAACACAAATAAACTTTTCTGTAATATTTTATGGAATACAAAGAGACTTTAATTGTTTGACTTTAACTTGGCACTGTTAGTTTTTATTAATAAAACGCGCATGGGCATTTTAAACAAACTCTGTCTTTCTTTAATTCAGTATTATCATCTTGCAATTATTCTTGCCTCTAGTCTAGTTTTACCCTGTGGTGAAGAAGCTGCTGCCCAAGGACAGGGTTGCCAGGTGTACCCTTCCTTTGGAGCGGGGCCCAGGCTGCATCCCCTGGTCCCCTGAAGTTGCCTGGAGGGCACAGGGCTGAGAAAGGGTGGCCAGGTGAGTAGGGCAGTGGGCATCTTTCCCTCAGGGTGCTTCTCTTGCGGGAGCTTTGACTCTCCTCAACCCTAAAAGTTGGGGCAGATTTTGCAGGTTTCTCTTTCAGAAAAAAATAAGATGGATAGAAGATCGTGGGAAAGGCAGCGGGATGCCAGGCGTCGCCCCGCCCACCAGTATCACTGGGCAGCATGCGGCAGGTGACGGTTTGGGAGCTCAAGACCCCAGAGGTCACACATGCGGGGAGGGGATAAAAGGTAAAGTTCCACGGTCCAATCTGCTATTCCTGCCTGGCGTCTGCAGTGCACATGCAGCTGGTGGCCTCCTCAGTTCCAGGGCTTGCTCTGGCTGCAGCTGCCGCCACCCCTGCTTTGTAGCGGGGCCTCCCCTGGTCTGAGGTGGCTTTGGGGATTTGGGTGCTGCCCCTTCTTTCAAACCCTCCCTTCACTTTCCTGTTGGGAGCAGGCAGAGCAGATGAGGCCATGAAAACAGCTCTGTAGGGACATCTGGAGAGCGATTTTGCTCACCCGGGGTAGGGTCTGGAGAGGGCTGCAGCTCACTCTCAGGCTGAGCCTGGCGAGGGATGCCCCAGTAGAGACAAACTCGGGCCACAGAGTGCAGTAAACAAAGCCAGGGGCTTCCTAGTGCAAGTCAGAGGGGAGCCAGAGACCCTGGGCCTGTTGCTGCTCCCCACTGCATGCCATCTGTGCAGGAGACCTGGGGTGGGGCTCGGTGTGAGGCCTATCTGGTCCCCACCGAGTAAGTGGCATCCATGGGAGATGTGCTACATCTTTTCCACCACTCATCTGTCCAGTTGTTTGCTGCGCCAGGTGTCTCCTGTTTGCCCGTCTGCACTCTGCTGTTGCAGGCATAGGCTTGGGTGGCAGGTGGGATGATGCACTGGTGTGCAAGGGGGACACACCCCAGGGAACGGGCCCTGACTGTTGTGACCCCTGGGTGCAGGACCTGTCTGCAGATGGCCCTGTGCCCCTGCCCACCCTGCTCCCATATCCCACAACCTCAAGTGTCGTGCTCCTCCGACCCTCCCAGTGTGCCTGTGCCGCAGCGGAAGCAGGCTTTCAGAGAAGGGAGTGTTTGGTTTTTAGTTGTTCTCCTAGGTTGGGAAAGACATGACTGTTCATGTAGAGCAAGAGTGACTTTAATGTGTTTTGTTTTTGTAACAGGAAATGACCTTAGAAGGCAGAATTCAGACTGTGCCTTGCTGTGTGCCGTGTTTGCTGTCTGTGCCTCTACAGTTTTATGTGCTGTGAACAGTGGTTCATGTTAACTTCTGGAGAAAACCAGTTGCAGTGATCAGGGAAGGCCCATGTGGAAGATGGCGAGTGATACCGGCCTGGCTTGCAGGGCAGGCGCTACTTTTGGTCTCCTGCGGGAGCCCCACATCTTATGCTGGCTAAAGCTCCTTTGGAGCACAGCAGAAGCCCAGTGCAAGGTGCACATCTGAGATCCTAGCTGCTCGGGAGGCTGAGGCAGGAGGATGGCAATTTCAAGACCAGCCCAGACTGCTTAGCAAGACCCTGTCTCAAAAGGAAAAAGGGAGAAGGTGGACTAGATAGGGAGTGGCTGATGCCGTGGTAAGAGCTGGACCCCAGTGCCTCTTGGCGATGCCACACTTGTAAGGTGATGGGTGGGCCCCTGGAGGGCAGGGCCGAGCAGGAGGGACAGGCTGGCAGTCGCAGTTGGGTCCCCTTCCCCGGCCATTACTTCTGCATCCTGAGCTTGAACTCCACTTTCCCTTCGTAGGGGTCGTGGGGGTTGTCGAAGGTGACATGGTCGGCGAGGATCCTGCACACGATGACGACGTCCACGTTCCAAGGGACGTTGAGAAGCTTTGCTGCCACCAGAGGGTTGCTGTAGTGGGGCTGTAGGGGAAAGATGAGAACCCTGGGGCCAGCAGCAGAGCCACTCGGCAGGCTACTGGTCGGGGGCTTCTTCCAGGTGCCTTGGTTGGATCTGCAGCACCCCACCGACCTGTGGGAGTCACAGTGGCTGCCCCTGCCCTGGCTGGGGAAAGGTGTGTATACAGGTGGAAGAGGATTTGTGGAGCCCTTGAAGGGAAGGGAGTTAGGGCTCCACAAGATGAGCCGGGCTCTGGGAAGCGCTCTGATGGGTAGGCAGCCAGGCTGCCTCACTTTCTGTTGAAAGGGGCAGCACTTCCCTCAGGCTCAGTGTGAGGCATCTTACCTGTGCTTTCTTCCCATAGTAGGGGAAGTAGTGTAGGCTGAAGGTGCCGTTGGGGGGGTAGTATTCCACCTGCAGGGTCCTGTGGGCCTGGTGCGGCTCATCCTGGACGAGAGAAGCCACAGCTGAGCCCGGGGACGGCCGTGGCAGGCAGGCATGTGTGCACATGCCAGAGCCAAGTGCAGGGCACCTGCACACGCTGCCTGCACATCAGCCACAACTGTGGTTCTGGGTTGCATCTGCTACTCAGCCGTGTCTGTGGCCCTTTTATGTTTTGTTTGAGGCATGGTTTCAGTTGCCTGGGCTGGGCTCAAAAGGGCCTACTGCCTCAGCCCCTAAGTGGTAAGAGGCAGTTCACTGTGCCCAGGTTGTCCTACAGTTGGCTTCAGAACCAGTGCTGAGGGCCAAGCCAGGGGGGAGCTGTCTGTGCACAGCTGGGGCCTCCACACCGTGAGCCCCGCTGGGAGGCCTGGTGGGTAAAGTGGGGCAGGGCTGAGCCCCATCTGCAGTGAGATGAAGCCACATGCTCAGCTGTCTACCATCTTGAGTCTATGTGGCCTTCTGGGATCAACACAAACATGCTTTTGGTAGTAGCTGGACTCCCACAGGGAGCTTGAAGTCATCAAGGAACAGGAGGATTTGGCCTCTGCTGGGTGTTGGGCCAGCCTACACATGTGGGCAGAATAACTGGAGGAAGGAAGAACCAGATACCACAACCAGAGAGAAGTGAGTCTCTAGGGACAGATGGGCCCGCAGACCCCCATGGGGCCCAGGCCGTGGGTACGGCACAAATGGATGCACGTCGTACTTGACAGGTGGTATTTTCTTCAGTAGAACCCGCAGCATTTACGCAAGCAGAACACAAACTCACAATGCATCGCTAACCCAGGCTAAACACCTGTCGCTGGCAGGGAGCTGGGGTGTGTTTGTAATTGGGCCAATAGGAAGGGCAGACCACTGGCATCAGTAGGGTTGTTTTCCCTAGTCGTGGCCAAGAATTCTGCAATTGGTAGTGTCCCCTCTGAAGTAGGACCATGATAGCATGATCTTCTCCTGTGGGGTCTGCCCCACCAGCCTCCAGGCGACACCTATCCCTGGGTACCTGACTGACTGGTTGACAGGTTGAATGTCCCTGAGAGCTGTCAGTCGATTCCCACTGCCCCTGGCAGTCTAAACAGCTGGGTCTCCCTAGGAGCCTGCCAGTGCAAGGCAGCGCCTCCCCACATCTACTTACCAGGAAGGCGCAGTCCACACGGGGCGCCGTGCTGTTGCTGGGCAGGAACTTGACAATCTGCAAGGAAAGTCGCTGCTGTCCTGACTCAACCTCTGGGCTGCCAAGGCCCCAAAGGAGCCCTGATGGGACCCTGGTAGGACCCTGGCCAGATGGTGGCAGCTCATGAGCATGTGCCTTCCTCCTGGGCACTGGACATGCGCACTGGCCTTTGGCGGTCCTGCTGCCCTTGAGTCTGGAGCAGTGACTCTGGGCCCTCTGCCTAGGCAGCTCCTGTCACTTGGGCCTCAGCCTGGATGGCACTGTGCCCTTTCTGCTGATGCACATGTGATTCTTCACTCTTTGGGCACACCAGGCACCACCACAGCCCTGGTGGCTCCATGGTGCCAACCCAGGACCTAGAATTTGGCTGTTGGGCCTCTGACCCAGGCAGCAACTGTGCTGCAGGAGGCTCGTGGGCACTGCCAGCCACATAGCTCCCACCACAGTCTGCACAGTGTCCTGGCCACGGGGCCATCAGGTACTCATGTTTGCTTAGGACACGTGCATGGTAGGCTCATGCCCAGCCAATGTGCAAAGAAACGGGGCGGATTCTGAGTGAGACCCCTGCACGTACCCTGTTCATTTTGATGATAAAACATGGTTTTCCCTCCTCGAAGCCAAAGCTGGGGTCTGTCAGGCCTGAGCAGTTTTGCAGCATGTCTGCTGTGAACTTGCAGGAGAACTTGGTGTGATTTGGGCCCCCAAAGCTCTCCTGGAAGAAGTACTTCTCGGAGGAGCAGTTGATGCTGCCCCTCTGGGCCACCGGGGTGTAGCCTGTGGAGACACAGCACTGCAGTCCGCCCTGCGCTGGCACATTCTGCCCAAGCCACAAGCCCTGAGCCCCAAGCTACGGCCCGCTCAGCCTACCTGCCAGGAAGCTGTGGAGCATGTGCACGAGGCCCGCCCAGGAACTGTTGTCGGAAACATTGTAGGAGATGTCTAGGCCTCTGTCCCCATATACATCTGGCCGCAGGGTCACCCCTGGGGAGACAGCACCTTCTGATTGCTTTGTGCACCCCCCCCCTTCCAGCCTCGTGCCTGAGTCTCAAGCGGAACCCCCAGATGTCTGACCAATACAGCGCCTGGTCCTTCTGCATCCTGAGAGGAGGATGCAGGCCAGGCTGCCTCTGGTCGAAGAAACGGCTGGCGTGCATCCCCGGGACCCCTGCCTGCCAGCTGGAGACAGCACAGTTGGTGTGAGGCCTCAGCCTGGCCCAGGAGGCACGTGCTCTACCTAGACAGGTCTTGGGCCTGGCCGAGCCTCAAGCAGGGTGTGCAGTGTCGCTTGAGTCTGCAGCCAGGTGAAACTGAATGCACATTAAAAGTCTTGCCTGGCTTTGGTCATGAACAAGAGCAGTTGGATGGTATGTTAGTTGTAAAAATAATTAAAAAACCAACGTGCAGGACAGAAGGGAATTGCAAGTGGTCCCAAGTGCTCTCTGGTGCAAGCTTCCTGGGCTTTTGGGGCGGTGGCAGTGCCCACTCTCCACTCCCCCTTCCTTCCCCACCAGCTTGCTCCGACTCCTGGGAGATCCTGTCCCTGGAGGTGGCTGCTTTGCAAGTACACACGGGAATGCTTTGTTGTTGTGATGGTGTTGTGAAAGTAACAGCTGTACTGGTGTAAAGCAAAACCTGTCAGTGTAACGGAAAGGAGCAAAGGCAGCAGCCTGGCAGCGCACGCCTGTGCATCGGGGAATCTGCAGGGCCAAAGCAGGAGAATTGGAAATGAGCCCAACCTGGGCAGCGCAGTGGTGACTTAGCAAGACTGTCTCAGGGTCTTAGAAAGGGCTGAGGGCGTAGCACAGGGTGAGAGGCCTGGCTTAATCCCCAGCACTGTAGAAAACCAAAGCCATACAAGCGAAAGCTGGGGGAAAGGCTTTGACCTCGTTTGTGGGCTGCAGGTCCCTAAGGACCCTGCCTTTCCTCATCCCCAGCAGCTTAGGGCAACCGGCACCCTGCCACTGTAGCCTTTTCTCCTGGTGTGGAGGATGCCTCCTGCCGCCACAAAGTGCCCTGTTCAAGGCTGCACTGTTCAAGGCTACTTATCTGTACAAGAGAAGCCTTCTAATAAACTACACCCAAAGTCAGGCTATGAGCCGGGGTGTCTTCCTCATCCAACAAAGCCTTGGGGCCTGCTGCCTGGCCTGCAGCTGGGCTCCTGTGCATGGCAGGAGCACTGATGGGTCCAGACCTCCTGGCGCCCACCTGGCGACTTGAGCTGGTCCTGGTAGTCAGGCGTGTATGGGTCGATGGTCTGCATCAGCACGTAGATGCACAGTGCGAAGAGTCCGGTCATCACCACATAGAAAGCCACATAGTAGAGGCTGATCCACACTGCAGGGAGACAGCTGTGCTAGAAGCAGGCCGTGCCTGCTGTGCTGACATCAGCTCACACTGGCCCTCAGCCCCACACCAGTCAGTATAGCCCACAGCCCTCTGCGCCCCCCATACTCCACTAACCCTGCCCTCTATTGTTCCTCTGCCTGCAGAGCCTCCACTTGCTCCTCACAGCCTCCAGTTCCCCTTGGCTCCTCCGCCCCATGTCACCTCACTCCTGCAGGCTTAGTGGGGGACCGGGAGCCAGCATCTAACCATTCTGTTTCGGTGGATCCCTGTGCCTGTGCCATTCCCATCACTGTCCCACCCTTTAGCAGGCCTGAGGTAGGGGAGAGGATGTGGCAGAACTAGTTGGGTAGTGAGCAGGACCTGTCAATTCCAAGATGCCAAGGCAAGACCAGGACCCAGGGAGCTCCTGAGAGCTCCCAGGAGATGGAGGCCGTCATTGAAAGACGCTATCCAGCATGAGTTTTCTACTTCTTTTTTCTTTGTTCATTCTGTTTGCTCTGCAGGGCTGGTTTCTTCTATTGCTGCTTGCCCCATACTTTTCAAATAAACTTTTAGCTTGTCTCATCAAATTCTTTGTTGAAGGCAAGAAGGGCCTGGAATACTTTTGATTGACATGCCATTTCTAAAGAAACCACCCAGGGCTGGGGGTTTAGCTCAGCAGCACAGTGCCTGCCTGACAAGAGCGAGGTTCTAAGTTTATTTCGTGGTTTAAAAAAAAAAAAAAAAAAGAAACCACTCTACAACAGACCTATGTAAGCAGAAGCGCATAGCCAGGGAGCGGTCTTGTGTGTGCTGCCCGGCCCCCGGGGGCATTTTCCTGTTCACTGTGAGACACTTGGTTGCGTAGGTTGTTGTCATCCCAGCCAGCACCCACTGACCAAGGGTCTGTACTCTGCACACCGAGGTAAGATTGACTGTCCCCCCACAGTGTGGAAGGGAAACAGGTAGAGAGGAGTTACTGCCCATGGTGATGCCCACATACGGTGCCTGACACTTGCACTCCTCTGCGTCCTGGGGGAAGTGGGCAGTGGGTCACACGAGATGATCCCACACGGCCCGGACCCAGAGTCAGCACAGGAAGGGGAGTGGCCGCTCCAGGCATGTGCAGCTCCTTTCTGTCTGTCCCTCCTGTAATGCAGCCCTGGTAGCAGCCAGCCCGGGCAGCCTGTCTTCCCATTTCTAAACAGCTTGATCAAAACAGACATTTTGGGGGTGCTGAGCGCAGGCATGTGGTGTGCACCTCCAGGATGATGCTTTGCTGTGCACCCCATGTCTGGTGACCCCTGCAGGGGCCACTGTCCAGTGCCACATGGTGTGGGGTCAGCGGTGGGAGCCACAGGCTGGACGTGATGAGCCTGGGGCTGCTGTGTGTCCTGTGGAGCTACTCTTCACCCCTGTGGAGCTGTGAAGCAGGTCTTGTGCCCACCCTTCCCCTGGGGGCAGGACCAAGTGTCAGGGCACCTCAGCAGCCGATGGCCCTGCCTGTGGGCATCTGTGTGCAATGCTGGCCCACGAGAGCATGTCTGTGGTGGACCATGGTGGTGGCTGAGTCCCCCATAGTTCACTGTGTGGCAGGTGCTGTCCCATCCTGGTGCTGATAGATGATTCCTGCGTGGCTGCCACGTGGGCCTGGGCCTTGGTATGTGCTGCCACAGAGCCTCATGGCTCCTTGCCCCCCTTTTTAGGTTTGGAAACTGAGGTTCAGAGGGGGATGAAGTCATCCCTGCCGACTTCAGGTGCATGAGGGCAGCGGAGTAGGGAGTGATGGCCTTGGCCCCGGCCTGGCGGCCTCACTGCAACTACAGGCCAGCTGGCCAGCTGTGAGAGGCACCGCAGCTGGGTCAGGACCCAGAATTTGAGAGAGGTGGGGGTGTCCTGTGATCTCTGGGCACTGCCCCCCAAGAATAGGAGCCTATCTCTTGCCTTTGTTGTCTTGCTGGGCTGGTTTCCTTGGCCCTGAGACCCAGCCCCAGACCCTAAGTCTGCATCCATACCTTGGGCCTGGGACCTTTCCAGAGAGTTGTGAAGGGCCTGGCCAGCAGGGCAGCTCTAGGAGACTTAGTAGCTAGGACTACCCACCTGACAGCTCTGACAGGACAGTGGTACCTGCACCCCAACTTTTTTTTTTTGACAGTTTCACTATGTAGTTCAGGCTGGCCTTGAGCTCACTATGGAGCCCAGGCTGGCCTTGAACTTCAGTGATCCTTCTGCCTCAGCCTCTGAGTGCTGGGAGGACAAGCATGCACCACCACCCTTGGCCTATACCCCAACTTTGGCCTGTGCCCTCTGCTCTCCTCCTAGCCCAGTTGCCTGAGCCCTGTCTGGGGCCCTGTTGGCCATATTTGCTTTCTGCTCTAGGTCTTGCTGTGCTGCTTTAAGTCACATTAGAGAGGGATGGGTGCTGTGTTAGAG